AGCCCCGCCGCTCCCCAGCGGGCCTGCCGCAGAGGAGCCCGGGGGACGCAGGCGCTGATGTGGACGGGTCCTCTGGCGGGAAATACGCCTTCCCTGCAGGGCTCTCGGTGAGTGGGCCCTCAGGGTGGCGGGCAGGGGTGTCCAGGCGCCCGGACTCCAGCCAGCCCCGTCCCACAGCACCACTTCGTGCCCTGCAGCCTCAGCTCCAAGCCGCTGGTGGCCCTGCACCTGGTGCTGCGGAAGGACTTCTCACGGATCCTCTGTTTCACCAACTCCCGCGAGAACTCCCACAGGTGAGGCCGGGCAGTGGTGGGCGGCAGAGGCGGATCTGGCCCGGCCAGCCCGTGCAGCCTTGTTTCCGCCTAGGCTCTTCTTGCTGGTGCGAGCCTTTGGGGGCGTGAACGCCGCGGAGTTCTCCTCTCGCCTTGGGCCTGGCTGCAGGAAGAGGCTCCTGAAGCAGTTTGAGCAGGGGAAGATCCAGCTGTGAGTTCCTGCCGGGCGGGCTGTGCCGGCGGGGGTGCCCATGCCCGTTGCCACTGCGTGGCAGCTGCTCCCTGCAGGGCGGGTGCAGTCGGGCTCCCTGCCCCTGGCTCAGGCGTCCCCGTGCCTCTGGTCCTCAGCCTCATCAGCACAGATGCCACTGCCCGGGGCATTGACGTGCCAGGTGTGGAACTGGTGCTCAACTACGATGCCCCGCAGTACCCGAGGGCCTACGTGCACCGGTGAGGCTGCGGCGCCAGTGCTCCCACGTGGCTGGGGGGGGGGAGGGTGCTGGAGAGAATGCGCTGGACCCCAGCCGTGTGGAGGTCGCAGGCTGGAGGCCTCTGTGTGATTGCAGGGTTGGGCGGACGGCCCGAGCGGGGCAAACCGGACAGGCCTTCACGCTGCTGCTCAGAGTTCAGGTGGGGTCATGTGGCTGCGGGGGGGCTCCGTGGGGCTCTGCTGGGTATTGTGGGAACTGGCCCCAGAGCCCTGTCCCATGTGCGCACTTCCTGCAGGAGAGAAGGTTCCTCCAGATGCTGGCTGAGGCTGGGGTGCCCACGCTGGAGCGGCACGAGATCCCCGGTGATGTTCTGCAGCCATTGGTCCCTCGCTACGAGGAGGCCTTGACTGAGCTGGAGGGGACCGTCAGGGTACGTATGGGTTTTGCCGGCCTGGCGGGAGCTGGAGCTGCGCTCCGTGAACCAGATCTGCAGGCCGGTGTCCCCTCTGCCCCTTGCAGGAAGAGCAGAAACAGAAGGTGGCCTAGGCTGGGGTCTGAGGACGAGCCGAGCCTCTCCCGTGCCCAGCTGTGGACACAGTCGCTCTCCTTGCCTTCCTGCGGGGTGAACGCCGACGGCCAGGTGCTACAGGGGAGCCACTCCCCAGAACCCCTCCAGGTCTAGAGAGCAGCTGTGGCAGCAGCCCCTTCCCCAGGCATGGCCTCTGCCCCGTGCCGCAGCCTGGCCCAGACCTTGGCCTGGGCAGCAGGTCTGGACACTCGGGCCAGGGTTGGGACTCGTGCCTGCGGTCTCAAGACAGCAGCCTGGCTGGAATGAAGCCGGTCTTTCTGGAAATAAAGCTGTAAGGGAAGCGACAGCCCTCCCAGAGCACTTGGAATGGCGTCTGTCGCCCGGCGGGGAGGTGGGACCCGCCACGAGCCACCTCAGATGCTGCCCTCCGCCGAGCTGTGCTTGTCTCATGCTGGTGGTCACCCTGAGCGTCTCCCCCTCGGGCTGCGCCAGGCCATCCTGCAGGCCCTGAGCCTACGCTGCCCACAGACCCCAGCAGGGTGGCAGTGGCGTGCCCACGCCCAGTGTCAGCACAGGCTGTGGAGTGGGTGCCCTGGACATGGAGGAGGGTGAGCTCCGGGGCACGGGGGGGTGGGGGGTGCTCTGTGAGGAGGTGTGGCTCTGTAAGCACCAGGGGACAGTCGACGACTGACGGTTTCAGCATCAAATGCGGACGGTTTCTCGGTCTCCGCCCGCAGACCCTGGCCCACCACAGTGAGCAGCACGTGGCCCTGTGGCCGTGGCTGCATCCGAAAGCACACCGGGGTGTTGGTGGGAAGGCCCACAAGCTCCTCAGGAACTGACGCACCCACGAGCAGGGCCGGCCGGCCCACCTGCCTCAGCAGGGTGCACGCAGTTCCTCGGACTTAGCTTGCTCTCCGCTGCCTACACGGACCAGCGACAGGTTTCTCGTGGGACAGGCATCCACCTGGGGTGGCCAGCGCTCAAGCTCACCTTCCCATCTATGCAGCTGCAGCCTCCGGCCAGTAGGTCCACACCCCAGTAGCAGGCAGGACGGGGATCGAGGCAGCGCCCCTGCCCGCCCCACCCACACTGGTTACACCTTGCACCTGCAGCTGGGACCTGCCTGGGCCCCTGCTGGGCAGTGTCTGAAGAGATGGCTGTCACCCCTGCTGCCACAGCAACTGCCAAGCTGCGAGGAGCTGCAGGGGTTGCCACGTCTGGAGAGCAGGTGGTGTGGCCGCCATCGGGGCTCTCACGGACCAGCAGGTGGTGTGGCTAAGGGCTACACTCGCGCGTGGCCGGCCACAGCTGGAGTCCCAGGCCCGGCAGCCTGACAGTCGTGCAGCCTGTGTGCATGTTGCCCTGTCCTGTGGGCACACGCTCCCTTTGGAAAACCTAACTCGCTTTCCTCAGGATAGTACCTCAAAGGTGCTAGAAAGGGTCTTGGCGAGATGGGAGGGGAGGGCCGGCCACACAGCCAGGGTGGAGTCCTGGTCCTGTCAGTGTGTGGCTCCCTCTCGGCACGTGCCAGCTGACGTTTATAAAGAACGTCAGGACTGAAAGGACAGCTACCTTGCAAGTGAAATCACGAACTCCTGGCACGTGTGGGTCTTCTCTTACCCATTACAACCAAACGCAAAATTAGCAACATTCTGTTGTGGCGCGTAAACAGCCAGGGCCAGCTGGGTCTCACCTTGGAGGAGACTGTTGAGGGCAGCTCGGAGTCGGAGCAGCTGGCGGGGCTCGTGGACTGCCCAGGGACTGGCCTCCACGTGTACTCTTGAGTGCCGAGGGGCAGCAGCTCACTGGGAAGGTCCGAGGAACGCCAAGCCTCAGAAAGAGTGACGTCGAGTGACCCCACTCGCCGATGGACGGTCTGCCCCGTGGGGACAGCAGGCCAGACCCCACTGAGCCATGGAGATGCCAGTGCTGGGTGGGAGTCAGGACGCACACTACTGGTGGGTGTGGGCAGGGCAGCCTCCGGAGGGCAGGTGGGTCCTTGGTAAGTGATTTCTGCCCCATGGCGCACGCCCGCAGGCTGGCTGCCCAGGTTTGCAGTAGCCAGGCAGCAGGGACGGCTCAGATGCCCCCAGTCAGCACAGCGCTGATGACGTGGTGAGTCCACTTGAAAACATGGCGCCGAGGGACCAGCAGGCGGTGTGGTGGTTAAGGTGCTAGGCACTCCCACATGGCTGACCACCGTTCGAGTCCCAGACCTGGTGGCTGGCTTTCTCGCTTTCCCTCCTCTCTTTCTCTGGTCAAATTAAAAGAATGAATAAATTAAAAAATACAATTTAGGAAGTGATTTCTACAATCATAAGGTAGTTAAAGCCTCTTAATAGCCACACCCAGATGTAGAGGACAAAATGCAGCTTAGATGTTCTACAGGGACTGACCAACTGAGGACACCCAGCGGGGGGTGTGTGCACGTCTCAGAACTAACAACCAGGAAGTGGGGTGCATCCAGCCGCTCAGGCTGTGCAGGCTAGGCAAGGGGAGTGTGACACAGGCCCTGCCCTGCGGACCAAGTCCTCCGGGCCAGCCAGCGAGCAGGCCACGCACTGGCCAGTCTCAACTTCCTGTCACATGAGGGCAGGTGTGGGACTGTCCACTGCCGGTCCTGTGGAGCACGCAGGAGATGCCGGACTTTGGAGCACTTGGGCATTGTGCTCACCTGTTATCTGAGAAGCTGGTTCTGAGTTTCCGTCAAAGGACGTCTGCCCTGAATGCGCCCCACTTCTCTGGGCCAGGCAGGTCAGAGACACCCTGCCATAGGCCCACAGGGGTGCAGCTGCCGTGCATGGGCTGGGGCAGCAGGTGGGAGCGGAGCAGTCCCCGGAGCTGGCAGGGCCAGCCCAGGCACACCCAGGCTTCCCAAGGCCTCTCCGAGAGCGGGGCGGGCCCACTCCTTCCCAGCCCACCTCCCATGCTCCTGTCACACTGAGCACACCCAGACCCTGCCCTAGGAGCACGCAGCCTGGGGGTGAATGCACGTGCAGTTGCTGGAGGGAAGCGGAGCCGGGCCATCTCACAGGAGGGACTTAGGTGGGTGACAGTGATGCCTGCTGAGTAAATGGCCCACGGACAGTCAGTGGCCTGTGGTCACGGCAGGACCCTGTGTCCTGGAGACCCTAACGGAAAATGGCTGGCCCAGGAGGCACTGGCTTTCCCACCCACCCCGGGATGTGAACTGGAAGCCCAGGGCTGCAGGTCCCTGGACCCCACCTGGCGAGCCACGGCCGTCTGCAGTGCTCCTGTACCCCAGCCACTGTGCGTACTGGTCTGTTCTTTACAGAAACCAGAGCTCGTTGGTTACGAAGCAAAGAGGAAAGGAACAATAGGGCTCGGGCCACCTGGCTGGGGGCGTCTTCAACGAGGGCACCTGAGAGGAAGGGCATCCCTTCCAGCGCTGGGTCGGGGCGCGTGGGTGGGCGGACACTGCAGCCATGGCAGCCTTGGGGGCTGGGTGGGGGGTGGACATCCAGGCCCCATGCAGCTTGTTCCATTTTTTTGATTTTTATTCACGCACTCGGCACCTTGTTTTAACTTAAAACTACTTTTCTACCAAAGGGGATACGAGGTATGAAAAGGCCACTTTATTACACCTCATGTTCGGGAGGGTGTCACTGTCCTCGAAACCTCCTACTCAAGTACAAACTGTGTTTACAAAGTATTTACAACGGCAGCCTCGTCCTGGCTCACAATGGCGAGGGAAGTGAAGATAAAGGTCGGAGGAGGGTGGGCCCTGCCTGACGAGGCCGGCTCCGAGGCTCGATCCCTGCGGGGTTAGCATGGCCTGACGGGGGCCAGCTGGAGCTGGGCAGAGCCCCGCCTGCGTCCTGCGAGGTCTCTGGCTCGTTCGACCATTGTGATAGGAACCGACTCCAAGAGGGGCTTCCGTGACGTGTCCTGAGCTCGCCCTCAATTCCAGAGTTAGACCTTCAACTGGACGTGTCCTGAGCTCGCCCTCGATTCCAGAGTTAGACCTTCAACGACGTGTCCTGAGCTCGCCCTCGATTCCAGAGTTAGACCTTCAACTGGACGGCCGAGGAGCGTCCCAGCGGACGGCGTTCACGAGCAGGTCGTGTTGGATGCTCCTCGGCCGGTGGCAGCTAAAGAGCGACAGAAGTGACTGTCCCCTATCTAGGCACATGCCTGGAACTGCAGGAGAGCACACAGTGGACAGGAGACAGGAGGCTTCACTCACAACGCAACAGGTTGGGCAGGGAGTCCACGCTGCAGGGGAGCAGAGGACTCCCCTGGCGTGCTAGGAGACGCTGGCGATGCAGGTTCCTGTGCACGGCCGTCGGCATGGCCGGGGACAAAGGGGGAGCTGGAGACCGTCTTCCGCAACCAGATGAGCGAGCAGAGCGCCCTCCCAAGCGCGCACCTGCCCCTGCAGCTCGAGGCCCTGGCGGTACCTTCTGCTCCGTGTGCCGATTAACCGAGGGCAATCCCTTTCTTTTCAAAACCTAGTTAGTTCTTGCCCTTCTGAATTCCCAAGAGCTGAGAGCCAGCCGCCTGCGGGCGTTGCTCACGGCGCCACGGCTCCCTCCACACAGCCTGGCGACAGCGACACGGCAGCAGAGAGACAGCACGGGGATAGGAGCGTGCATCCTGACACGGCCTCTGTCCCTAACTGCTCCGACGGCATGACAGCAGCGCAGAGCCACTGCACAGTGCGTGTCCTCCGCCACGACCTGTGGTGGAAACCGCGGTACGGAGACCTCGTCGCCCACGGCCCCGCTGTCACAGGGACACCACCAGAGTCACCGCACACCAGGCCCCTTCTGCTCGCCCTCGGCCGACAGCTCAGGCCCGATGCAGTGGCGGCTGCTGTTCCGTGACAAACGGCCACACGACGGGGCTCTCGGCTGCAGGCCGTGGCCCGTCTGTGCCACTCTGCAGCAGGGCGGGGCCGTCCCACACTTGCCCCAACGGCACTTGCTCGGCGTGAGGCCTCACGGCTGCCCAGGCATGAACATCACCAGCCCAGGCTTGCCGCCCAAGCCCAAGTGGGAGCTTCGCCAAGGAGTCCTTCAATGACACGGGCCCCGCGGGGCAGCGCCTGGGGAGGTCGTGCCCTTGAATCCAAGCAGCAACGCGCCCTGTGCCGCGCGCCCGCCTCGTCACAGTGCAGGAGGGAGGACCTGGGGCCACCTTCGCACTGGACAGCTGATCTCGGACAGGCTACTTGGCCTTTCTCCTCTGCAAGGACCTTGGAGTGTCTCAGGAAGGAACTGAGTGACGCCATGGTGCCACTGTCACCCACCACGTTGTCGCTTTACAAAAACCGTGCTGGACTCCCTGCTTGTCCCGAGTGGCTCCATGAAGGTCAGCCTCTGCGCTGACAG